ATGGGCATTTAATAATTTTTAAGTTAAATCTCTTTTTTGGCTCATTTTATCTGTAAAAGAAAATCTGCCTAATAATTATGCACACCTGAATATAAGACATTTTTCACTTCAGCCTTCAGCCTTCATGAATAATTTTATATCAATTATAAATTATTAAATACAAGAATTAGTTATTAAGATTGATGTCGTTTGGAATTGGTCAAATGTGCTTGGAAAAAAATATGATCAGAATATCAACTTGCATTATAATTATGCATGCACTGTATTTTTCCTCTTCTGCTGTCGAGGTAATGCAAGAAATGTTGTGATTGGTTGTCAAGGCAGCCAATCAGAATTTAGCAGCCTCAGTCTCTGATTGGCTGGAATTATGGCACATTGTAACGCTGGGTTGGGTTGAGCACACGAGCTGTTGGCATTTAGTGAGCACTGAGGGGGGCATCAGGTGAGCAAGCTAGTGAAACGTTGCACGTGCAAAAGAGAAGGTCTGCACACATCCAAAAACGTATTTTAAATGCAAAATTGATTTCCGTGAGCTCTAAAGACTTTTTTCTTTGCGAAAACGAACATTTTCTCCACAAAACTCAGATCGTGCGCGTGCAAAATGCACTTTTGTGCGCTCAAAATATGATCTCTCGCACGCAGAATTGTGGCAGAAATGTAAGCCCATATCTCTCTCTCTCTCCGTGTGTGTCGTAAATAAACAGTTGATGAATTACAATTTTCTGAGAACAGATTATTGTGAGAATAGATATAAGTGGAGATCGCTAAACTGCAAGCTAACCGCTGTTTTCAGAAAGCAAGCGCGTTTATCACAGTGGAGAGAGAGCGCGTGCACAGGGTTGCCAGGTTAACAAAGATAAGTAGTACGTTTAGCAGATATTTCCGTATTGCGCAAGTGTGAAGCTCTGTTTTGGGGATTACGTCTCTTTATATCAGGCAACCCAGTTGTGTTCCTCTACGGCCAGATTAAACCTTGTGGTAGCCTATATATGCTCTATTCATTATTTTTTAGAAACCTCGCACTTTTCTACTCAATTTTAAACGTTGTAAAATTTTAAACAAATTAAGCGCGGTCCACTGCTGCACACGTGCCACAATATCGATACAGGGCCAGCTGTATCGATACTCGTATCGTCAAATCTCTGTGACGATACATCGTCGTATCGATATTTTGAACACAGCACTAACTAACACTGCCTTTAGCACAGAGAGAGAGAGAAAGAGAGAGAGAGAGAGAGACTAAACAAAATGAAAAAAAGATGAAGGAACCGAGAGAGAGGGAGAGGTTACAGAGAAAGGGAAAAAAGAGGGGGAGAAAATGAGAGGTAAGAAAATTTGAGCAGATATTTAACTCTGATTGTGATTTTACCATATGTTTTAGTATCTGTTCCACTCACCTGGTATTTGGAAGGCTTGTTCATTTATGCGCAAAATTTATGTACTGCTGAAACAGTGCAAGTTGTGATTGCTCAGATATTTGCTCTGAAGGAAAGTTAGAGACTGTACCTCTTGTAAAATTTATTAAATACCAGGCTAGAGTCTTCGTTTGGCTGTATTAAAATTCTCTTTAAAATGAACATTTCGCATTTTCCATTTAGTGATCACGGGGAATAACAGTGATGGGAGAAGTACCTGTGATGCACATGTATACCTTCGTTCAGCTTCTGTGTCACTTTTGTAGTTTACGGATACCTTAGCTATTCTCAGTGGAGAAAAAAAAAACGTTTATTTTTTATAATAATAATAATACCAAACACTACCTTTATTTTATGCTCATCAAGACTGAAATGTAAAATTGTGAAATATTGTCATAATTTAAAATAACTATTTTCAATTTTATTATAATTTATTTATTTTAATTTGATACATTATAATTTTATAATAGAACACTCAAGTCATCAGTGTCACATGATCTTTCAGAAATCATTCTAATATGCTAATTTGCTGCTCAATAAATATTTCTTGTTATTATCAATGATGAAAACAGTTGTGCTGCTAATATTTTCAAGAGAACGGCATATTTTAAATAGAACTATAAATTATTTTTATAAATCATTATAAATGTCTTTACTGTCACTTTAGATCAATTTAATGCATATTTGCTGAATAGAAGTATTCATTTCTTTCAAAAGAAAAAAAAATTAACTGACCCCAAACTTTTGAACAGTAGCATAATACAAACGAAAGAAAAATGATTTGTGGTCAGAATGAAATCAATCTGCGGTCCGGATCAAATTACCTAGATTATGTTTGCATCACCTCACTGACTAATACTTGTTTAGATGGTTAGAGAATTGTAGTTCACAGAGGCAGTAGACAAAGGGTGATGTTACTCTCAGTCTTTTAATAGACCAACATTACATCATTTTAACTAAAGTTTAACTAAAGCGCAGAAGCTCATGTAATGCATTCCAGTGGTTTGTAAAACTGCATTAAAATGCATGTTGTTTCATGATGCCATAAGGTAAAGCAAACCGGCCTGGAGAAAATAGCACATGTCCAGTATGAAGAGTATCATTTCACTTTAAACTCTGATTCATGACTGGATGTCTGCCCTCAAGAAATAAAGACAGAACCACTGCATATGTCTTTCTCCAAAATCCTCTTCCTCGTGCCTTTCTCTGAACACACTAACAGGTGTGTGAGTCTATAGTCAATACCGCTCGAGGAAGATAAGCAACTTCAGCTGCTCTTGGAACAGTTTAGGCAACCAAACTCTTATCTTTATTAAAAGACATAACAGGTAAAAACCGGTCTCAGGTCAGTAGACAAGGGCAACGTATCAGCAACAAGTATATCTCTATTCAAGCAGGCCAACTTTATGCATCCTGGAGGCCTTTCAGCTCACACCTGAGCCTGTTTTACTCTCAGCTCCCACAAAAGGCTGTGCTTACTTCCATTACTTCAATCGCTCTTTCTATCTCTAACACACACTCTCTATCTCTTTCTCTCTCCTTCTTTCACGCCTGGGGCCGAGATAGGTGGAGAGATAAAGTGAGAAAACACTGAGAAAAAGAAAAGGGCCACGTTTCTTTCACAGAGAGATGGTGGGCCACAGAAACCGATAAAGCAAGAGGGGGAATTGAAAAAGGTGTAAGGAGAAATCCAAAGAACAAAGTCTTTTGATGCCATTCCTCCAACATTAATGGCAAAGTGTGACTTAGCTGGAAAGGGTGTTGCAGCTAGAACTGATTCAGTTTCACCATCGTTTTATAAGAAGAAAAAAAACACTCCCTACCTGTACTGAGAGAGCAAGAAGCCCCCGATTGATGAGCCGCAGATGGAAAACGCCATGGCAACCACCCCATTCCACACCCCGAGCTCTCTGGCTGTCATGTGGTGGTCCAGGAGGAAGAGAGGAAACATGGTGATAGCCCCCTGTTCACCTGTAAAATATAGGATTACATCAGCACATACACACACAGTTCAACTATTGTAAATGCTCTTTTCTCTGAACTTCAGATAGAGACAAAAAAAGACCAAGAAAATTGACCGGATTATCGAAAATGTGCTGGATTCTGATCACATTGAATCAGACTTTTCTCAAAACTGGCTTTAAACTCCTGATAATATCCACACATCACAACACAAACTTAGTCAAAACAAAACACTTGTTATCTGAGAATGGGAAAAAAAAGTGATAACCTGAGCAGAGGCCATGTTTTTCACACTTTTAGTCCTTAAAGGATCAGTGCCTGGGTTGCCTTTGAGTCATTTTTTTTTTCTGAGAGTTTGTCACTTAAAAGTCAGACAAAAGTGACAAAAACAAAAGCTGCCAATGAAAATGCTGCCGTTACATTGCGCCGAGTCCTGCGTCGCTGCATGATAGTGGGTGCACAGAGGCCTTGGTAACCCACCGCCGTGTATTATTTAACGGCATTGTCATTATTTATGGAGTCTGCCTTCAGATCGACAGCCCGCTGACTGACAGCTCTGAGACCGCCGTCAAAAAGAAACTGTGCTTCCGGGGTCCCAGGGATGAAACCGGTGAGAAACAAAAACAGAAATTCAAATCAAAAATCAGACGCTTCTGTCGGAGTTCTGCTACTGTCGCTGACAGCGCCACGTGAGTGCTTTGACATCGCTTTCTTTGTGGGGGATTGAGTCTGACAGTAGAACTAAATTTGTAAAAGATGTTGTAAAGTCTGTAATGTGGTGGCAACAATGAACAATGGGACTCGTTTTTCACATTCAGCACATCTTTTCTTCATATAAGGCAGCTATAGTGTATGCCACCCACCCAGGTCCAGTGCGTTAAAGGAATAAGGATGCAGTTTTACATAAGGATGAACACAGTCACATTCACTTTGCAGTTTGTACACAAAACATTAAAAACTGCCTGTTACTTTGCATATTATGTTTTCAATTATAGCCTAATCCTTGAGAAAATCTGGCAAAGTTCCAGCATAGCCATAATTTATTTGAAGACCATAGTAACCACAGGTAAAACCACAGAGACCACTCATTACCATAGTAAAATCACAAAGGCTTCTAAACTACACTTAAGTATTATATTAATAATAGTATCAGTTTAATATTTTTTAATAAATAATATAATTTTATTTAATTAAAAAGAAAAAAAAAAGAATTTCCTTGTTTCATATTACTTAATATTATGGAAAGACAGTATGAATCTGCATTTCCCCTCAAATAAAAACCAGATTAAAAATAGTTAAAAATGTATGTAAAGGGAACACTGCAGAACAAACAGTGTTCATTGTGTCAACATGGTAGTGTAAATGTATACAAAATGCCAAAGATGATCAATGAGCAGTTCAGATGCTGCTGATTATCTCATATGTGCCGTTTGGACATGTGCTTCAGCGTTCTGCCTCAGTCTTTTTTTTTCTCCTACGTTGCTTCAAGCTAATTATTTTTTAAGCAGGGATTGAAAACAAACAACAAGGCTGCTTATTTATGTCTATAAATAATCTCAGAGCAACAATTGTCCATTTCACATGGGATTTCATTAGACATCCACAAAAACACAGAGGAGGAAAGCAGAAGAGGGGAGGCACTGGGAGGAGAAAGAGTGAAGCAGAGAGAGAGTGGGGAGAGATGCTGTATCAGTTCACCTCAGTTAACAACGATAGATAATGGGGAACAGATGAAGACAAAAATGGACAACAGATTCAGGATGAGACGGAACAATTATTCAATTCTCAAAAAGCAAACAAAAGCACCATAAGGTAGAACCAGACCGATATGGGTTTTTTGGGGGCTGATATTATTAGGGCTATATTAGGGAGTAAAAAGGGCCGATATCGATATATCGTCCGATATTGTTTGTATATATTATAGTACAGTACCAGTCAAAAGTGTCCAAACTTTTGACTGGTACTATATATAGAATACAGTATATATATATATAAACAGAATATATATAGACAAACTTTTTTTTTTTGCAATGATCACTCAAATATGGTGATCAAACACTTATAATGACGTGACAAATATATATAATGGAGGCAGGGCATTTAACAATTTAACAATAAACTTTATTATCCAAAATGCGTCTGACATCGGTGCACTGAACAGTAAAGTTGAAGTTTATTCATACTTTTCAATTAAATTCCATTCAACTTTATTCTGTTTAAGTTTATTTCACTTAGGAACATTCATTCACGGATTTGTGCAACTTTCTTCACACACAGACGAAACTTAATAGAGAAGTGTGAAGTGTGACATAATATACCTCTGTAAATAAATACAATTTAAATTCACGTCTCACGCACTTTAATGCGCTTTGAATGAAACGTGTACATTCCCTTGGAACTGGAATCATGGCGGAATATCATGTGAAGACCACTTACGGTCGAATAAGACAATGCTTGAATGCTGCTGCCTAAACAAGAGACCTCCTTACTGAAGTGAAAGTGTTGGCTGGAGTTACTATCTCCACCAAATTCGGGGGATCCCTTCAGCTCGAGGAACCCTCTCGAACGCCCCCCCTCCACGCATCGGTAGCCCCCCAGGATCACCAGATCGGTCGGCGCCCGACTGCGAATTTAACCACCCGTAACTCCCGAACCCCGGAGGCTATCGACGCGGGGGTGGTCTCATTTGAAAGGGGGCCTCGAGAAGTAAACTCGATTTGGCGTTCGAGAGGGTTCCTCGAGCTGAAGGGATCCTCCAAATTTGGAGCGCGCTAAGCTGGACAAACTAAGTAATTACATAATATACAAGCATTTTATCTATGTTTTATGTTCTGTAAAAATATTTTCATATCGGTGGCATATCGGCGGCATATGTGCCGATACATCTGCGACAGGCTCATATCGGCAAAACGATATATCGGTCGGGCTCTACCATAAAGTATCAGTTATTTTTGTATTTACTGGAGTTCTTCCCTTCCAGTAAGTTGTTAACTGTCAGTGAGTTAAATTTGAGAAACAAATCAGTTTAATTAATGGACAAATCACTGAGATGAGTTTTATAAATTACATCAATCGATTCATTGTAAATATCTAACTCAAAATTTCACTCAAATTATAGCAGATTTCTCCATTCTCACAAACCCCCAAACAGCAAGACAGTCAAGAATTTCAATGAATAATGATTTACTTTTTGGTCTTTTCCTCACACTGTTATAGAAGGTTTGCAATACAGTGGAATCATATGGAATATTTTTTATAGCATTTTAAAGCTTGACAGCTCCAGTCCTGTTAATTTTATTGCATTAAAAAGAAAGTCCAGGATATTCTCCAAATATTCATATTTTGTGTTCCACAGAACATAGAAAGCCATACAGCTTTGGAGCAACATGAGGATGCAATGAAACAACACCTCAACTAAACTTCAAAAGTGTGTGAGAGCCAACGAGTGTGAGATGCTGACTAAAACCAGATACAGAGTCCCCACAGTCTTCAGCATGGGAACAGCCTGAGGATCCTGGGCCCTTCCCAGTTCATGTAGGCCACTGTGCCGTGTGTATCTGCATCTGTGTGTACTTGAGCAGGTCACACAACTCCATTGTAAATGCTCCTCAACCAACGACAAGCCCCGTACCAAGTCTCTACGGACCTCTGAGGTTAGAATCCGCAAAGGTCTAGGTTATTCCCTTTACATTCTGGGATACAATGACATAATTGTTTGGATGAAACAAAAGCATCGAGAACTATCACTTGCACCGTTAACTATGTGAATGCGAGCGAAGATACGGTGGTATGGATAGGGAACAGAGACGCAGCCTATTCAAAGTAATGTACTGTAAGCTCACATATCTAAACAGAATGCTTTTTAATGTTCACACCCGAGTTACACAATGGTCCAGACAATGGGAAAACAATGTAGGTCAACTAAAAGACATCACATACTTTACTCATCTTCTTTCTTTGGAATTTCTGTGTTCTCCATCACTCTCTACTCACGCGCTTTCTCATCATACCCGATGCCCCCTGCACCCCACCATCTCTCTCGCTCTCTTTCACTCTCTCTCGTAGTTGACCATGTGGTGGGTGTTCATTAATTCATCCCCCCTGCAGTCCTCTGCGTTCCCTCTGGAAAATATTTGCCTCCTGCTCGCGTCACCCCTCCAATAGTTTTAAAGTGATTTTATAGCTACAACAAACATAATTTCTTTAAATTAATACTTTTGTCTTTTTTCCAGAAAAAAAAAAAATGTACACACTCCTAAAAAACTTAAACAAATTTACTTGAGAAACAAAACAGCATAAAATATTACGATCTGTTTTTAGAGAATAAATGTTGAATTTTTCTTGAAAGTTTATTTTCTTATCCCACTGGCAAAGTTTTTGTTGTTTTTTTCTTTAAGCATAAACTGCACAAGGGACTGTTAGATTTATGCTAAAATTTTTAACAAGAATAAAAAAGAAAAAACAATGTTTTTTGTCAATGAAAAAGGAAAAACAAGTATTATTATCTTACGCAAATTAGATTCAAGTCAATGTTTCTTATTTTAAAAATGTTTAACTTTGCTGAAAAGCAAGACACAAATACTATATACAGTGGTGTGAAAAAGTGTTGGCCCCCTTCCTGATTTCTTATTTTTTTGCATGTTTGTCACACTTTAATGTTTCAGATCATCAAAC